CGTTCGATATCAGACATCGGTAAATCGTTCTCACATGGAAAGAACTTGGCTAAGCTAGACAAGGAGCAGCCACCAATTGGTCCACAATTGGAATTGCCGAAGGTGATAATGCTGAAACGCTCAAATAAATTACCTTTAATGCTTAGCTCTTGAGGACCTTTTCAGGTAGACTCTATGCCTAGAGATATGAGCAAAGATGGTTCGAATGCGGATATTAGTAAGGGCAACACGCATTTTATGAAGAAACTACCACATGGCGTTGAAGCTAGTAACGTATTGATTGGAGAAGTACGTTTGGATTATGCGTATTTATTCTTATTGTGTTGAAAAGTTCAGTAACGTTTAAATTTTAAAAATGTCGCTACGTTTGATCAATGGAGAATTTTTTATGGACACCTATTCAATCATTTATTAATCATCTGTAGTATCTTATAGGTGGACTTCCTGCAGCGTCATATCTGCGCTTTTGTACGCCTCAAGGCGGCCAATGTTCTCGGAGATCTTACAGAGGTAAGTTAGAGGTTTACATTATGGTCGTGCTATAACAAGTGAACTATTTGAGGTTCCCGTACCGACCAGGTTCATCTTTCTGATGCTTGGTCCCACAGGTCATGGAGCGCAGTACAAGGAGATTGGTCGAGCCATCGCAACCCTGATGGCTGACGAGGTTTGTGTGAGAAAAACGGTGGGAGTAGGATTTTCAAATTGCTTTAACTTTTTCAAGATTTTCCACGACGTTGCCTATAAAGCACGCAACAAAGAAGATTTGCTTGACGGCGTTGACGAGTTTTTGGATCAGGTGGATTTCACCAATATTCTTGTATTATTCTTCTGAATGGTGTTTAGGTCACCGTCCTGCCTCCTGGCGAATGGGATCCCACAATACGTATTGAGCCACCTAATCAGATTCCTTCGCAGGAGAAAAGAAAACAGGTGTTTGCTTCTGCACGCTAGTCTCTAGAATTGATGGGAAAAATTACAGATTGGACAAGAGTTTTTGCTTGAAAACGTTGAACTTTCAAAAGGCAAAAGTGTTGGCAAAGATGAGTTGGAAGAAGAGGAAGGTAGACGTATGATTGTATCGATTTTTAACGCATTATATGATTCTCTTGTAGCCGGCCATGGTGCTGATCCAGCTTTGAGGCGAACCGGGCGTTTGTGCGGTGGTTTGGTCCTTGATATCAAGCGGAAGGTAAACTTTAGCTTAATAGGAGCCAACTGTATAGTAATCAAAGCTGTCAACGAACAAATCAGTACTTTAGGCACCTCATTTTTTGAGCGACTTCACTGATGCGTTCAACTTACAATGCTTGGCCACTATCTGCTTCATGTATTTTGCTCTTTTGGCTCCTATTGTCACTTTCGGTGGACTTCTTGAAGAAGCAACGCATCAACGAATGGCCGCCATGGAAAATCTCTTTGGAGGTAATTTCACTACATCAGAAATACATGTTAGATC